GTTGTCCTGAAAAGTTGAAATGAAGAGGAGCTGCGCATGAGCGCACCAGTGCTCTCATTCTGAGTATCAGCCACACATTCCAATAAGGAATGTATGAGGGGGGATCGTGATGCATCATCTCTCATGGTTAAATATGTATTTTTGTGCTGGCTCAGATCCCTTCTGTGAAGCTGCAAGTAGGGATGACCCAAGATGTTCTCCTGCTTGAGACAAAGCATAAGGGACCGCCTCACCTATAGAAAGGTTATGATCGTTCAATCTTTCCTCAAGAGTAGTGATGGAAAGTCATTTGCTGATGGTGCCAGTGGAATCGTGATTCTGTTCTGGATTTTGCTCTTACCTTTAAACGAAACTACAGAATCATATCTCCACAATAGGTTCATCAGCTCAGTAGGTTTCCATAAATGATCGGTGGATCAAACCTTTGTCTCCAGAGTAGTAGTAGGTCAATGCCCAAGCCACAACACCAAGCTGGATCTCTAACCATCTTGAAATCAATTTTGATTGACAGGTACAGGAGGACAGCTGTGTGGAGGATAGCACTATCAAAAGGAGAGGCTTGGCATAAGACAATAATCATAGAATCATAGAGTTGGAAGAGATCTCATGGGCCATCCAGTCCAACCCCCTGTCAAGAAGCAGGAATATTGCATTCAAAGCACCCCTGACAGATGGCCATCCAGCCTCTGCTTAAAAGCTTCCAAAGAAGGAGCCTCCACCACACTCCGGGGCAGAGAGTTCCACTGCTGAACAGCTCTCACAGTCAGGAAGTTATTCCTAATGTTCAAATGGAATCTCCTTTTTTGTAGTTGAAGCACCCTAGTCTCCAGGGAAGCAGAAAACAAGCTTGCTCCCTCCTCCCTGTGACTTCCTCTCACATCGCTATCATGTCTCCTCTCAGCCTTCTATTCTTCAGGCTAAACATGCCCAGCTCTTTAAGCCGCTCCTCATAGGGCTTGTTCTCCAGACCCTTGATCATTTTAGTCGCCCTCCTCTGGACACATTCCAGTTTGTCAATATCTCTCTTGAATTGTGGTGCCCAGAATTGGACACAATATTCCAGGTGTGGTCTAACCAAAGCAGAATAGAGGGGTAGCATTGACTTCCCTAGATCTAGACACTATGCTCCTATTGATGCAGGCCGAAATCCCATTGGCTTTTTTTGCCGCCACATCACATTGTTGGCTCATGTTTAACTTGTTGTCCAAGGTTGTGATTTGTCACATCCTTGGAACTTGCTGTCCACAAGGACCCCAAGATGTTTTTCACACATACTGCTCTTCAGCCACGTGTCCCCCATTCTGTATCTCTGCATTTCATTTTTTCTGCCTAAGTGGAGTATCTTGCATTTGTCCCTGTTGAACTTCATTTTGTTAGTTTTGGCCCATCTCTCTAATCTGTCAAGATCGTTTTGAATCCTGCTCCTGTCCTCTGGAGTATTGGCTATCCCTCCCAATTTGGTGTCGTCTGCAAACTTGATGCTCCTGCCTTCTAACCCTTCATCTAAGTCATTAATAAAGATGTTGAACAGGACCGGGCCCAGGACGGAACCCTGCAGTACTCCACTTGCCACTTCTTCCCAGGATGAAGAGGAAGCATTGGAGAGAATCACCCTCTGGTTTCATTCGCTTAATCAATTACAGATCCACCTAACCGTAGTTTTGCCTAGCCCACATTGGACTAGTTTCCTTGCCAGAAGGTCATGGGGGACCTTGTCGAAGGCCTTACTGAAATCCAGGTACGCGACATCCACGGCATTCCCCTCATCAAGATACATACTACAGTAAAACCTTTTATTTATTGTGTCATTTTAAAAAAGCAGAGTCATGTGTGCAAGCTTCTGGGATTCTTAGATCTCTCTCCATTGGACATTACAAAAAGCAGGCAGCAGGAAGCTGAGTGGGAGAGCAGAGATAAAACCTGATCTTCCTGTAGTCTGCATGTTGATTTGAGATGTTCCTGGGAGGAAAGGTCTGCAGACTGTCAAACGAGTCTTATCAGGAGACGTGTGTGTCTTTCAAGACTTTTGTTGATTTTTGCCGACCCCTGAATTTCAGAGGGGTTTTCAAAGGTAACGAAAACTCAAATGTGGTTTTGCAGGTTCCTTAGTCTGAAATGCAACCTATGGCATCTGATATTCCTAACCAAGGCAGATCCTACTTAACTTCCAAAATCAGACAGAATCTGGTGCCTTTAGGCTATTTAGGCCTTGCTACCAAGTTGTTGTTGTTGTTGTTGTTTTCCATGTCAGGAAAGGCTTGAGAAACTGCAAGTCGCGTCTGGTGTGAGAGAATTGGCCGTCTACAAGGACATTGCCCAAGGGATGCCTGGATGTTTGATGTTTTACCATCCTTGTAGGAGGCTTCTGTAATATCCCCAAATGGGGAGCTGGAGCTGACAGAGGGATCTCATCTGTGCTCTCCTCGAATTCGAACCTCCAACCTGTTGGTCTTCAGTCCTGCTGGCACAAGGGTTTAAACTATTGCACCACTGTAACTCCTTGCTACCAAGTGATGTGATACTGTTACCTCACTCTGCTCTCTTTTCTTGAACTTACTATGCAAAAAGGCAAAATTATCTCTTGAACTTACTATGCAGAAAGGCAACATTATGTTACCAAGTGTTGTGATTTTTATTTATTGTGTCAGAAGCAAATTGGGTACAGTTATAATGTATTTAGAAACACAAACAAAGTTAAAAGCTTGGCATTATGCTAAATGTCCTTTGACCAGAAGCTGGCCACTTGGAGTGCCTCTGGTGTCACTGTGAGAAAGTCCTTCATTGAGCATGTGGCAGAACTCAGGTTTCATTAAGGCAAGCGGACTGTGGTTTGCTCTTTGCACTCACATGTAGTGGACTCCACTTTGTAGCCCCATTTCTTAAGGTTAGCTCTGCATCTAATCCCAATCTTCTGTGTACCGAAGAGGGAGTCTCTCACCTGGTATCAGCCACGGGTTGAGGTTCCGGGTTTTAACCTGCCACTTTTGGACTTGCAGCATGCAACCAAGTGATGTGATGGCATTATGTTACACCTAAACTGCTCCAGCTAGACTTGCTGAGATGGGGAAAGCAGCATTTGAGGTCTCCATTCTGTCATAGAATACACATCTGGCTAGTAAAACAAAGGTGGGCAAGGTCCTGGGATCACATCTGCCCAAGTTGCTTTTTGTAGCTCTACATATCCTGAAACTTTTCTGATTACCATTTGCAGGTCATTGTGTTTAACTGTTTGAATCATTTAAAACATAATACTGTATTATTTCTTCACTTTTGTTAAGTGGTGTTTATAGTTTAATCTTGGAAGAAAGGAAAGATAGACATTGAATAACAGATCAGATAAGATAGATACCCCCCCCCCCCTCCGCACACTGACAATAACGGATAAATGTGGGTTAAAGCGCTGAGCTACTGAGCTTGTTGATCGAAAGGTCGCAGGTTTGATTCCGGGGAGCGGCGTGAGCTTCTGCTGTCAGCCCTAGCTTCTGCCAACCTAGCAGTTTGAAAACATGCAAATGTTAGTAGATCAATAGGTACCGCTCCGGTGGGAAGGTAACAGCGCTCCATGCAGCCACGTAACCTTGGAGGTGTCTATGGACAACACCGGTTCTTCGGCTTAGAAATGGAGATGAGCACCACACCCCAGAGTCAGACATGACTGGACTTAATGAGGGGGACAACCTTTACCTTTTTAGAGATGCAGACTTGCTTCTCCCGGCAGCCTCCAAATGCAAAACTGTATATTTATGGAAATTGCATCTTGGTGCTCAACCCTCTGCAATTCTCCAAATATCAAAGCTGTTTTTCAAATTGAGAAGTGGACTTTTGGGTCTCTTCTGGCTTTTTCGGGAGGAGTTCTGATGAGAGAGGACTAAAGCCACAACTGAATAAAATCTGCTCTGACCTGGAATATATGGCAGTGTGGACTCAGATAACCCAGTTCAAAGCAGGTATTGTGGATTTTCTGTCTTGATATTCTGGGTTATATGTTTACCTGTTCAAACATGTCTCCCCCTATAAACCATCAAGGACTTTAAGATCATCCGGGGAGTCCCTGTTCTCAGTTCCACTGCCATGGCAGTCACATTTGGTGGGGACGAGAGACAGGGCCTTCTCTGTGGTAGCCCCTTGTGTGTGGAACTCCCTCCCGAAGGAGGTTACATCTGCCCCTTCCCTCTTGATGTTCTGGAAGAAGCTTAAATCCTGGTTGTGGGAGCAAGCGTTTTTACTGGCAATAATGAGATTTTATTGGACTGCAATTTGGATGACGATTTTTAACCTGCCAAACTGTTTTAATGTGTATTTATATTGATTTTAAAGCATTTTGATTGTACTTTATTATGTGTTTTATTGTTTTGGCATCAATCATAGAATCAATCATAGAATCAAAGAGTTGGAAGAGACATCATGGGCCATCCAGTCCAACCCCATTCTGCCAAGAAGCAGGAATATTGCATTCAAATCACCCCTGACAGATGGCCACCCAGCCTCTGTTTAAAAGCTTCCAAAGAAGGAGCCTCCACCACACTCCGGGGCAGAGAGTTCCACTGCTGAACGGCTGTGTTTTCTGGTGGTCTTTGGTGACCTCTCTGACACCCCCTCGCGACCCCTCCAGGGGTCCCGACCCCCAGGTTGAGAAACACTGTTAAACCTACCAGGGTTGAATGAAAAGTAATGCCTCCACCTTTTTTTAAAGAGATACCCCCTGAGATGGATGAGAACCCCCCTGGGCGCCTCTTCCTCTGCATGTGAGGCTCTGGCTTGGGTGGCTTGTGTCTCTTCCTTCCCGTCCAGCCTTGCAGAGAGAGCCTCCTTCCTGGGGGGAGAAGGGGCGACTCTTGCCGGCCTCCCCCAGGCGGGGAATGGTCCCTTCCTCTCCCCTTTTTCCTTCCTTCCAGCCGGGTGGCCATGTTGCGGCGGGGAAGGGCAAAGGCGGGGGAGAGCAGGGGCTGCTGTTGGAAGGGGTAGAGGAGGAGGAGGAGGAGGAGGAGGAGAGGAGGAAGGAAGGAGGGCGGCCCGAAGGAGTGGCGAGCGGGGAAGGGCTGGAGCCGGGCAGAGAAGGAGAGACAGAGAGAGAGAGAGACACGCCGCCTGCCTCTGCTAGCCAGCCATCCAGCCAGCCAGCCTGGAAGCCCCTCTTGGCACTCCAAGGAGGAGAGACCCCGCAGGCAGCATGGCCGTGGCGGTGGGGAGACCCTCGGTGAGTCTTTGGGAAGGGGCCTCTTTTGTTCCACAGGCGTTGCAAGCCACACAGAGCTGGTGGCTTGAGGGGCTGGGCAAGAACGCGCGAGGAAAGGGGGAAAGGACGAAAGGGAAAGAGCCGCTTGTTGCTTCCTCCTCGGCTTGGAAGGAGAGAGACTCATTGCTTTCCTTTCCTCGGGGGATTCTTTGGTTTTCCCCCTCCATTCATTGCAAAGGCGGCTCTCACGAGGGAGGCGCGTGGGCGGCAAAAGGAAAGGCCGGCGTTGGGTGTTTTTTTTGCGGGGAGACGGGGACATTCAGACATTACGCGCCTTTTCCCCCTCCTCCTCTCCCAGACCTTCAGTCTTGCTATACAGCAGTGTTTCTCAGCTTGGGGGTCGTGAGGAGGGTGTCCAAACACAGAAAACACAGTATTTTCTGTTTCTCGTGGGGGTTCTGTGGGGGAAGTTTGGCCCAATTGGTGGGATTCAGAATGCTCTTTGATTGTAGGTGAACTATAAATCCTAGCAGCCACAGCTCCCAAATGCCAAGGTCCATTTTCCCCAAACTCCACCACTCTTCACATTTGGGCATATAGAGTATTCATGCCAAGTTTGGTCCAGATCCATCATTGTTTGAGTCCACAGTGCTCTCTGCATGTAGGTGAACTACAACTCCCAAACTCAAGGTCAATGCCCACCAAAACCTTTTCAGTATTTTCTGTTGGTCATGGGAGATCTGTGTGCTAAATTTCAGTATCCGTGCCAAGTTTGGTCCAGATCCATCATTGTTTGAGTCCACAGTGCTCTCTGGATGTAGGGGAACTACAACTCCAAAACTCAATGTCAGTACCCACCAAACCCTCCCAGTGTTTTCTGTTGGTCATGGGAGATCTGTATGCCAAGTTTGGTTCAATTCCATCATTGGTGGAGCTCAGAATGCTCTTTGATTGTAGGTGAACTAGAAATCTCAAATGTCAAAGTCTATTTTCCCCAAACTCCACCAGTGTTCACATTTGGCATATTGAGGATTCATACCAAGTTTGGTCCAGATTCATCATTGTTTGAGTCCACAGTGCTCTCTAGATGTAGGTGAACTACAACTCCCAAACTCAAGGTCAGTGCCCACCAAACCCTGTTGGCTATTGGAGTTGTGTGTGGCAAGTTTGGTTCAATTCCATCATTGGTGTTCAGAATGCTCTTTGATTGTAGGTGAACTATAAATCTCAAATGTCAAAGTCTATTTTCCCCAAACCCCACCAGTGTTCACATTTGGGCATATTGAGTATCCGTGCCAAGTTGTATACAGATCCATCATTGTTTGAGTCCACAGTGCTCTCTGGATGGAGGTGAACTACAATTCTCAAACTCAAGGTCAATGTTCACCAAACCCTTCCAGTATTTTCTGTTGGTCATCAGAGTTGTGTGTGGCAAGTTTGGTTCAATTCCATTGTTGGTGGAGTTCAGAATGCTCTTTGATTGTAGTTGAACTATAAATCTCAAATGTCAAAGTCTATTTTCCCCAAACTCCACCAGTGTTCACATTTGGGCATATTGCGTATGATCCAGATCCATCATTGTTTGAGTCCACAGTGCTCTCTAGATGTAGGTGAACTACAACTCCCAAACTCAAGATCAGTGCCCACCAAACCCTCCCAGTATTTTCTGTTGGTCATGGAAGATCTGTATGCCAAGTTTGGTTCAATTCCATTGTTGGTGGAGTTCAAAATGCTCTTTGATTATAGGTGAACTATAAATCTCAAATATCAAAGTCTATTTTCCCCGAAACTTCAGCAGTGTTCACATTTGGGCATATTGAGTATCCATGCCAAGTTGTGTACAGATCCATCATTGTTTGAGTCCACAGTCTAAATGTAGGTGAACTGCAAATCCCAAACTCAAGGTCAGTGCCCACCAAACCCTCCCAGTATTTTCTGTTGGTCATGGAAGATCTGTATGCCAGTGGTGTTCACATTTGGGAATATTTAGTATACGTGCCAAGTTGTGTACAGTTCCATCATTGTTTGAGTCCATAGTGCTCTCTGGATGTAGGTGAACTACAACTCCCAAACTCAAGGTCAGTGGCCACCAAACCCTTCCAGTATTTTCTGTTGATCATCGGAATTGTGTGTGGCCAAGTTTGGTTCAATTCCATTGTTGGTGGAGTTCAGAATGCTCTTTGATTGTAGGTGAACTATAAATCCCAGCAACTACATCTCCCAAATGACAAAATCAATTCCCCCAACCCCACCAGTATTTAAATTTGGGTGTATTGGGTCTTTGTGCCCAATTTGGTCCAGTGAATGAAAATGCATCCTGCATATCGGATATTTACACTATGATTGATAACAGTAGCAAAATTACAGTTATGAAGTACAATGAAAATAATGTTATGATTGGGGGTCACCACAACATGAGGAACTCTATTAAGGGGTCACAGCATTAGGAAGGTTGAAAAAACTGCTATACAGAAACCCAAGCCCTCCCTAAAGGAGGAAATAGGAGCCCCAGGGTAGAAGAGGGCGCAAACCATCGTTCTATGATACTATGTGCCAGTATATCTCTGGAACTGTACAAGCCTTTCATGGCTTGAAGAAGTCAGCCCATTGAATCCATGGGGTTTAGGTCTGTCTTTGATTGCCATTCAATAGTTCATTGCATGGGTCTTCTGTGGCTAGGACTCCCCAAAAGGATTTCAGAGGAAATGTTGCCAGAGGCGTACAGTTACAATTTTCCTGAGGATGACTGCAAACATAATCTGGTTTGATGTGTAATTCTATTTTGATTATATTTATTTATTTATTTACTATATTTATATACCGTCCCTCTCAGCCCGCAGGTGACTCAGGTGGGTTTACAGTCAACATCAAAGTGTAAGAATACAATAAAAACAATCTATATAAATAAAAATGTAATGTTCGTTTGTGGGATTAACATAACTCAAAAACCACTGGGCAAGTTGACACTAAATTTGGGCACAATACACCTATCAGGTCAATGAGTGACCATCACTCAATCACTCATCAAACACACTGAAAAACACACCAGAAGAGACTTAAAAAGCAAAAAAAAAATTACAACGCATGCGCAAAACCACATATATACACATATACACAAATATATACATATATATACACACAAAACACATATACACAGACTGGGCCACAGCAACATGTGGCAGAGGACAGCTAGTTAAGATAATATAAAATCATAATAAAATCAATAAAAAACATATGTCATTTGAGTCTCCGTGTTAAAATATTATACAGAATCATAGGGTTGGGAGAGACCCCAAGGGTCATCCAGTCCAACCCTATTCTGCCAGGCAGGAAGACACAATCCAAGCACCCCCAACAGATGGCTATCCAGCCTTTACGTAAAAGCCTCCAGAGAAGGAGACACAACCCTCTCTGATGGCCCTTCCACACAGCAAGAATATCAAGGCAGATAATCCACAAGATCTGTTTTGAACTGGATTATCTGAGTCCACACTGCCATAGAATCCAGTTCAATGTGGGTTTTATACAGCTGTGTGGAAGGGACCTCAGGCAATGCGTGCTTTTGCTGAACGGCTCCTACTGTCAGGAAGTTCTACCATGCATTGAGGTGGAATTTAATTTTCTGCAGTTGGAGTCCATTGCTCTCTTGTGTCTTTCCTAGCCTCCAGAGCAGCAGAAAGCATGTCCCCCTCCTCAATGTGACATCCTTTCAAACCTTGGATCATTTTGGTCACCTTCTCTGGACACATTCCAGCATTGTCAATATCCTTCTTGAATTTTGGGTTTTAGAATTGGAGACAGTGTTTCAGCTGAGATCTGATCAAAGCAACATAGAGCAGTGCTATTACTTCCCTCAGTCATGGACAAACTTCAGCCCTCCAGGAGTTTGGATTTCAACTCCCACAATTTTCCTCTCAACCACTGATGCAAGACTCCAATTGAGGCACCCCATAATAATCACATTGGCTTTTTTAGCTGCTCCATCACACAGTTGACTCATGTTCAGCTTGTGGTCAACTAATTCTCCTAAATCCTTTCACATGGACTGTTTCCAAGCCAGGTGTCATCCATCTTGTATCTATCCAAATGCAAAGATACAGAATGGAGGATGATGCCTGGCTCAACAGCACTGCGTGTGAAAAAGATCTTGGAGTCCTTGTGGACAGGAAGGTGATCATACAGCAGCACGAAAAGCCAATGGGATTTTGGCCTGCATAAATAAGAGTATGGTGTCAAGATCCAGGGAAGGCATGCTGCCCATGCTCTATTCTGCCTTGGTCAGGCCACGCCTGGAATCACACTGTGTCCAGTTGTGGGCACCGGAATTGAAGGGAGACATTGACAAGCTGGAATGTGTCCAGAGGAGGGCGACTCAAAGGATCAAGAGTTTTGAGAACGAGCCCTATGAGGAGTGGCTTAAAGAGTTAGGCCTATAGGAGAGAAGGCTGAGAGAAGACATGATGAGGGGCATGTATAAAGATGCGAGGGGAAGTCATAGGGAGGAGGGAGTAGGCTTGTTTTCTGCTGCTCTGGAGACTACGACGCGGAACAATGGCTTCAAACTACAGAAAAGGAGATTCCACCTGAACATGAGGAAGAACTTCCAGACTGTGAGACCTATTCAGCAGTGGAACTCTCTGCCTTGGAATGTGTTGGAGGCTGCTTCTTTGGAGTCTTTTAAACAGTCTGGATGGCCATCTGTCGGGGGTACTTTGAATGCGATTTTCTTGCTTCTTAGCAGAAAGGGGTTGGACTAGATGGCCCACGAGGTCTCTTCCAACTCTACCATTCTATAATACTATGTGCCAAGTGTTGTACAATATATTTCTGGAACTGTACAGGTTGAGTATCCTTTCTCTCAAATGTTAAAGACCAATCTTGCATTCAAAATCAAATTTGGAATACCCGTTGAGAGGTATTATCCAAAACTCTCCAACATAGTCCTTTGCTTTATGATAGTTCACCATGCACAAACTTTGCTTCATGTACAAAAATTGTTAAAATATTATTTATAAAATTAC